AAAAAAAAAAAAAAAAAAAAAAAAAAAAAAAATGAAGCTAAGCCAAGACTAATGAAGAACATGCAGCGAGAAGCATTACTTCAGGTCGCTCTTCCTTGTCAAGATTAGAGGCCTGAGAGTCGAGCATCATCGCCTCCACAGTCAAATCCGCGGAGTGCTCCGTCCAATAGTTCTTCTGCACCTCGCGCTCTCGTTCTTTGAAACACAAAAGCAACCAATTCAATCACAAGAGTTCGAACAGAAACAGCATCACTACATGAATTATAATGCAAAGAAATAATGAGAATTTTTACCACCAATCTGAGCAGAAGCCATTGCCACTGATTAGAACCGGAACAGAGAATGTGAGAGCGAGGAGGACGAGGAATATAACTAAAGCCTATGAACCCTCAACGGCGAGGCGAGATCTAGAAAAGCTCCTGGATCTTCGGTTGTTTAGTCTTCCTCTCTGCTGCATTCCACGGCTGCGGGAACTGTAAGCGCTTCTCCCTCTCGGTTGACGTCGAAAATCTGGTGCGAGCGATTTTCCCGACTTTGGCGGACCCATATTTATACCAAGCCCAGTATGAACGCCTCTCTCAATTTTTTATTATGAGTTAAAGAGTACAACTAGATGTTCATTTAATCAAGGATGAAAATGGAGAGACAGCGGGGAGAGGCTCATCTCTAATTAGCTAAACTTACAATATTTTATATTTGGCATCCAACAATTATGGTATTTGCTAAGTTCATTTTGTCATATACTTTAAAAGTACTATAAAAATATATAATTTATTTATTTTTGTGTATTTGTGTTAATATTATAATAATAATTCATCATTATTATTCATAGTGACTCGTGTCTAATATTCTAAATCTGGGTTCGGCATCGGTCAGTCTCCTACAATATTATCCCCACGTACTAACCCGAGTCATTTCAGGATGCATTGTTCTCACTCACGTGCATTATGAGAAAATTTTTAAGAGATTGTCCAACATATACTTGCTCCGAAGTAAAACAAGTTTAACCATAAAATTCGTAGGATTGAGCCACCCAACAAAATAAAAATACTCAAACCATTTTTTTTTATATAAAATAAAAACATTAAAGAATTTATTAACTGTAGTCTAGCAATTAGTTTATTTATAAAACCCTACAAATGGATTGTAAGAAGAGTTCTTGAGATGTGGGACCAAAGGCCCAACTTCTGAATTTAAAAGGTCCATCTCGCGTAGGCCCAAGTTCTGAACTTGTAAGGCCCATCTCACGTAGGCCCAAGTTCAGAATTTAAAAGGTCCATCTCGCGTAGGCCCAAGTTCTGAACTTGTAAGGCCCATCTCACGTAGGCCCAAGTTCAGAATTTAAAAGGTCCATCCCACTTAGGCCCATGTTCTGAATTTGAAAGGCCTATCTCACGTAGGCCCAACTTATGAACTTGGAAGGCCCATCTCACGTAGGCCCAAGTTCTGAACTTGGAAGGCCCATCTCACGTAGGCCCAACTTCTGACTTTGAAAGGCCGAACTTCTGAAAAGTAATTTAATGGGTAACATATTTAGATGGTTTGATTAAAAAAGAAATAGAAATAAGGGTAGAAAAGGAAGAATGAGTGTTATTTGTAGGAAATTAACTTAAAAGGAAAAAAGAAAAAGAAAAGGTAAAAATGAGAAGGGATAGGGAGGTTTCGGTAAAGCTTAGTTTGTCTGCCACTAAATTTTGTCGGGTCGGCTCTTCCCACGACAATCTTTTGTTGCCTGTCATGTCCCTATTACATTTCCCTCTCTTTCTATCTATTTATATTTAAATTCATGTAAATAAAAACCTTATATTATAATTTTAGTATATACACTTAGTATTTTAGCATTAAAATATTTATTTAATATGATTTTTTTTTTTTTTTTTTTTTTTTTTTTTTNTTTTTTTTTTTTTTTTTTTTTTTTTTTTTTTTTTTTTTTTTTTGCTGAAAATTGGAAGCATCGTGAGATTGAACAATCGTTTGACATGGCTAGGTATCAAGTTGGAATCTCATCTAACTAAAGATTCTTATGGTTATAGAGAATCTGACTAACGTGAAACTAGGAATCAAGAACTTTCCATCTTTTACTGGCTACTTTGGAGTTACATGGTCATCTAGAAGGACGGTTGTGGGAGTATAAGTAACCTAACCATGTCTTAGGGGATGCAGGGATTATCGGGGCCATTAGGTGCCGAATTTGGAAACTTAGAATTTTCTTTCCATTTTTTTCAATAGGATAGAGTTGAGAGTGAATCACGCTCCCTCCACATAGGCGGTGGGAGTACGAGAGCATGCCCGCATGAGCTCATATTGACTCGACCGTTTCAAGTTTAGGTTTGATCGGGTTATAAGCTTTTGACCCTCTAAGGTTATTATTTAAGCCATGATTTCATCTTTATTATGATTAGGTCTCGTTCATTCCTACCAGCCTTTTATCTATTTGAATTTGATCTATTGTCTAAATTTAATATTCATAAAAATAAATATAAATGTGTTGTTATTATTATTGCAAATGGGCTACTAATCATGATTAAGCATGCAAATAAAGTATTAATTTAATAAATGAATATGGTCATAGGAACTTTTTGATACCCATTTGGACAATGACCCATCCTTAACTTCAAAATGTGTTATAATTTATAATTATTAGTCCTAATTAATAGTAATTATTAATTATTTTCTTTCATTTTTGGTAAATAAAATCCCAAAACTATCCACCCCCAAAAAAACATAAAAATCAATTAAAAAAAAGGAAAAAGAAAAAGAAAAATGTGTCAGTAAAAAGTGAAGAATGTAGGAGATGTAGAAAGGAGTGTGAGAAAAAAAAAAAGTAAATAGAGAAATAATTAAAAAATAAAAACTTTTGTCCCCTAATATTCTAAACGGGTCCACATCAAAATAAAGCCCTCCTCTCACCTTATTCTTATTATTCTTGAATTTAAAATTAATTTAATTAATATTTATAATTCCATTTTTATCCTCCACATTTAAGGTTGTCTAATTAATTTAGTAATATCTCCAAAACCTTATCTGTTAAATCAATAAAAGCATCATACTCCCTCTTTCGTTGGAGTTGGAGCAACCTCATATTAAGTATTGTAGCATCAATCGGTAGTTGAAATGTGCACGATAGCAAAGATTAATCCATCTCAATTTGCACTCTCGTTGGAGCTGAAGTAACCTCATATTAGGCATTGTACCATTAGTCGATAGTTGAGATGTACACAATAGTGAACATCAATCCATCTCAATTTACACTCTTGTTGGAGTTGAAGTAATCTCATATTAGGCATTGTAGCCTCAATTGGTAGTTGAAATGTGCACGATAGCGAAGATCAATTCATCTCAATTTGCACTCTCGTTGGAGCTGAAGCAACCTCATACTAGGCATTGTAGCATCAATTGGTAGTTGAAATGTGCACGATAGCGAAGATCAATCCGTCTAAATTTACACTCTCATTGAAGCTGGAGCATCCTTATATTAGACATTGTAGCATCAACCGATAGCTGAAATGTGCATGATAGTGAAGATCAACACATCTCAATCTACACTGTCGTAGGAGCTAAAGCAACTTCATACTAGGCATTGTAGCATCAACTAGTAGTTGAAATGTGCACGATAGCAAAGATCAACACATTTAAATCTACACGGTCGTTGGAGCTAAAATTGTCCTTTTTTTTTTCAAAAAATTCCTCAATCTTGATAAAATAATTCAATAACTTTTTAATTTAAGAAACAAAATTTATATTTTATAGAGTTTCAAACTTTTAAAAAATTAAATAAATTATATAAAATAAAAAAAAAAGATAAAAAACCAAAACATTTTTTTTCTTATATAGTTGACTACCAAACATAATGATTTTACAGCCTGTTTTTTCCCCTTCTCTTGGAAGAATTTTCCCCATTTCCCTCAAATCTCTCCTCTTTCTTCTTCTCCTTTATCTTTTTCCCTGTTAAAATCTTCTTTCCCAAAGCTTTGAAGCTTTTGAAATGGCCTCCCATGGCGGACGCAGCCATGGCTGACCTTGGCTTCCATGGCAGCCTCAAATCCCCAGCAAAATGTAGTAAACAAGCGTGATAGGCAAAGCGATCAACATTCCGAAGATAACTCTGCAAACCCACGAAGAAAAATCAAATCTTTTTGTGTTTTTTTGAAACAAAACAGACATTTAATGTCGGAGTTATTAAGGATATTGGCGCTATACATACCCTGTGCTGAGAATATCAGGGTGTACGTTGTACTCCTTGGCAAAGACAAAGGGGACAATTCCTTGTGGGAGAGCTGCCTGTTTTTTTATAAACAAAAAATGGATATAAATTTGTAGGAAACTCCAAACTAATGGGACACAAAAACATGTTAAGCCTACCTAGCTACAGATGTTTGTTTCCAAACACATCAACAATCAACAACCAAGCTAGGCCCGAGCTAAGAGATACCTTATCTATTTTCACGGGACAATTTACCTGACTCTATCTACAAGGCTCGAGCTGAAAGATATCATCTTAACTACATGACTCTGTCAACCAAGCCCGAGTTGAGAGATATCTTAACTATTTTCACGGGGTAACTGACATGACTCTACCAACTAGGTCCAAGCTAAGGGATACCTTAACTATTTTCACCGGATAACTTATATGACTCTACCAACCAAGCGGGAGCTGAGAGATACCTTAACTATTTTCACGGGATAACTTACATGACTCTACTTAATCTTCTATATCGGTGAGTTTTCAAGCAAGTTCAAGAATATCTTAACTATGCCTCTTGTATTAGTGTGAGTATTCAAGTGAGTTCACATTTCGAGCAAGTTCATAGATACCTTAATTATTCTCTCCTAAGACGACTTGTCCGACCTTGCTACTAGGTTTTTTTTGTACTGGTGAGTTTTCAAGCCATTTCAGGTCATACAGATACCTTGACCATTCTCACGAGATAATTTGTCCAATCTTGCTAGGTTATTTTCGAGCCAATTCACAGATATCTTAACTATTTTCACGAGATCAACTATCTAATTCTACTCAGTACTTTTGTATTATACCTTAACTATTCTTACGAGATAACTCGTACGACTCTTCCGACAATTCTAAGATACATGCAAAGGGTGATTTTGAATTATAATGGTTGTTCATTTTCTATAAGAGCCTGAGCCTACCGCTAGAATATACTGTGTTCTACTCGGGACGTTCTTAAACCATGCTAAAAAGCAACCATCTTTTTCATAATTCAACAACTTTATAGAATTTGACATATTACATTGGTTTTTTTAAAAAAAGGGAAAGCTTTTGGAGTATATGCAGTGAGGAAGCAGGATAGAGGCAATGTCAGAGAAAAGTTGCAGAGAGAGGAGAGAGAAAGAGTGACCTGGACAATGGCTACTCGTAAGAGAACTCCTCTAAGCCCAACAGCAATGGAAGCCACAGCCATTACAGCTGGTCCTGTAAGGAATCTCACAGCCATTGAAAAAGCTGCTATGCTATTCCCACATGCTATCATCTTTGGCTGCAAAGCCATGAACAACCCTGCCATTCACACACACTTTCATCATTACTCCGCCCCTCCCCTGTTCTTCNGAATAAATTGAATTATATTTTGTCGAGGTTTCTTTATTTTTATAAAATGAGAGAATATTCTCCCTAATTATTGAGCTGATAAAAAAAAAATAAAAGAAAGTAATTGAGAATCTTTCCCTTTGGGAAATTGAAAGGGTATCCAATCGTTTTGACAGGCAATTGGACATATCTCCTCGTCCCCATCAACTACTCTCGACTTCGACTCCCCATATTTACACCTTTTCTTATAGACAACCAAAAAAAAAAAAAAAAAAAAAAAAAAAAAAGTTAAGAACTTTACCAAGACTGAACATGGCCATTCCAAGCCCTGCATCCGAGAGAATAGATATCGACTTTGCAACAATGGCTGGCATTTCGACACTCCACCTTAAAGATCATGATCAAATATAATCAGAAACAGAGCTTAAATCAATACCCAAATGGGGTTTTGAAGAACATAAGAACCTGAATGATATCAAGGACCAAGTCAGGCCGATCAAACTCGAGTAAGTGTTGGGGTTTCTGATCAGCTTTCTCCAAACCATGATCAAGATTAGCCTTGTCATGACACTCGTTGGCGGCATGGTTTTGGGTTTCTCTGCTACTCCATTGTTGTTACTGTTCATACTCTCTCTGTTTCCATAGCTGAATTCTTCCCTCTCTGTATATTCTTCTTGGTTTTCTCTACGACCCTCCACTGATGAACAAATCCCATTAACAAAAATGAACCAAAAACGAAAACGAAAGTCTAATCCATTCAAGAAACTTACCTTTTCCAGGAGACACAGCCAATCTCACATCCTTTTGATCATTATGTGCACCAAATTCATGGTTTCCAAACACATCAGAAACAGGGGAAGCACTTGAACTCCAAACAAACATATGCAAATCTTTGTTTCCATCCTCTGTTTTCTGCTGAGCCACAACTCCATTAACAGGCTTCTTAGTATTGGTTGCTGCATTTTTGGATCCTGTAGGTGAAAACATTCCTGGGTTTGGAGCAGGGTAATGATTTGCATTTGCATTGTAATGAAACCTTGGTTTCCCGCCTTCCTCCTCGTAATTCGACGGTCTCGGTGTCGGTCCTCTCGACGCCGAAAGGCCGTAAACATCAGAAGAGCCAAAGTTGGAGTTTCTTCCACCAGTAGCCATCATAGAGTAGAAATCAGTATGGTTAAAACTTGAGCCTCTTGGAGTGGGATTTCGAGATGATTGCAGAGAGTAAATCTCTGCATTAGTCAAATTAGAAGGGCGTGGCGTTGTAGAAGACAACCCCACAGATCTTCTCGAGAAGATATCTGATCTTGAAGCATTTGATTTCCTCACAGTCACATGAAGCTTCCCATCTTCCTTAATCTCAGCCTCTGTTTCAAGAACTTGCCTTCCATCCAACGACATGATATCAGAATCGACATGAATTGAGACAATAGAACCAGCAGTGTCTGGAAACTGCTCAGAAATCAGCACTCTAGCTCCTCTATATTCAAACATGAACAGCATCAATGTATACCAAATAATACACTGAAGAACAACAATCTGAACCATCAAACTCCCTGAAAACTCCCCATACATCCCTTTAAGCAGAGGAATTCCCATAACCAGAGTATTAGGCAATGTTGAAAGGGAAAACAGAGTAATCGTCCATTCCAAACAACCCCTTTTGCTTATGTTGCTCCAAACAGCAAGAACAGCAAGAACAATGAGCTTTTGGAGAGTATCAGCCGCAATAAACCTCAAGTTCATGGTATATGGATTGTTGGTGGAAATAAAATGAAAAGAAAGAAGAGGAACTGCAAACAGAGCAACAAAACGATTGATTCCAGAGCACTGATCAGGAGTGAAGATCTTCCACCATTTCACAGACCCATAAGCTAAAATCATAGCCACATAAAGAGGAACCACTGCCGTCATTACATGGTAGAAATCCAAAAGACTAATCATCTTTCTTCTTGTTCTTCTTGATTTCTTGAGGTTTCTGAGGTGACCCAGATGAGGAAAATGGCTATGAAGATGAACTCAGAGGAGAAAAACAGGGGAAGAAGAAGAAGAGAATGGCGAATAAAATTAAGCCTTGAGAATTGGGAGGAGGCCTTGTTGCACTTACACTTACAGTCCTCAAAGCAAGAGCAGAGAGCGTGGGAGTTCTTCAACTTCTTTTGGGTTTGTTTTTTTGCTCTTTGTTTTGAAGCGAGCTTGGATTTGGGTGTTTGGAGGATAATAAAAATGGGTTTCTTGTAAATGGTCATATAAGTTTTTCATTTAATTTAGATATTAATATCTTATTTATTTTGATTATTAATTATCTATGCAGTGTGAGAGTGAGTTATTCACTAGTAAACACTTTGATTATTAGTGATTGATTGCATAGACGTAGGTAAATATCTTTGTCTCTTTGTTTAAATTTTGTTGGTTGGTATTATAAGTACATTCGATCTTACTTTCGCTTGTGCTAAAATAATCGATATTTGTAGGTTTAAATATGGTATAAACATGGGAGGTTAGTAAGTGCCGGGCTGGCGGCCTGGCTGCCTGTATTTGTTAAAGGAAAAAGAAGAACAGAGTCTCGTTGGAAGGTGGGGCTTTGTTCGGCAGAGCTTTTTCCAACACTTTTATTTTTTTTTATTATTATTTTTTTCATCTCTTGGATTCGCTTTTTAAGGCTCATGGCTCGTAAGCTTAGTTAGTTTTGGTTGGGTTAACAGTGTGAAAATTCTCTATTTATAATCAAATAAATTATAAAGATATAGAAAGAGTAATAAATGGCCCTCTATGTTAAGGAACACAAATACTCTGATATATATGGTAAACTATAATTAACTATGAATTTTTAGGGTTTAGGGTATGAATTAATAAAAATCCAAACTTTGTTCTTATTTTTACTCCATTTGGTTGCATGTGAAAGAAGAGTACGACGATTCAACAGGTTGACCATGAATATGAACACGAAATAAATGATATTGTCATAACTCTATCTATCTTAATGAGTATACTTATAAGCATCTTTAAAATTATCGAAAAGTTAGACACGAAATAAATTCAACCCTCGTTGTATCTCATCGTTAGAACTTTATCTGCCTCAATCAGTGGACGCATAAACTAATTTCATTGTTTTTAACGACGAAAATCTAGAAATGTTTAGATCATCAAAATTTAGGCATGAAACAAATTGAACCCTGATTATATCTCATCGTAAGAACTTTATTTATCTTAAGCAGTTGACCCATAACTTATTCTCGTCAATAAAATGACAAAAATTAGAAATGTTCAAGTCATCAAAATTTAGACACGAAATAAATTCAGCCATGATTGTATCTCATAATTCACTTGGGACTTGTTAAACAATCTCTCCCGCCTTCTCCAACGAAATAAATTCAGCCCTCATTGTCCTCGCTGGCACACCGTCCATTGTCTGGCTCTGATACTATTTGTAATAGTTTAAGCCCACAGTTAGCCGATATTGTTCTCTTTCGACTTTCCCTTTCGAAATTCCTTTCGTAATTTTAAAACGTGTCTACTAGGGAGATGTTTCCACACCCATATAGAAGGATGTTTCGTTTTTCTCTTCAACTGATATGGAATCTCACACAAACTCATTATTCAGAGTATCGAAACGAAACGAATAATTTAATCGAGATTACAAAACCGGGAAAGATAGAGAGAAAACATGCACATAGGGAAGAGAGAAGGGAAATTGAATTAGAGAAGATGACAAATGCATGAGAAGAAGAGATACCCATCACATGGACCCTAAATTCCCCATTCCATACCTCTATTCATTCCCTACTATCTTTCTAATCTCATTGGACTTAACCCCCAATCCTTATTTTTCATTCCAATCTATCATATACCTTTTATATATCTATGTCCTTTCCCGCTCTCCTACACCGAACTCACTCGGTTGGATCTAGCTCGTGTACTTGACCATCTTCTTCGTCTACAACAGGAAAAACATCAGTGTGTATGGCACTACGTCATAATCGATGTGACACTGCATCAACTTTTGCACCCGTACGTGTTCTTATCAAAATGTCGTGTCAACCTTCGTGCAATAGCATGTTCAATTACGGACAAGATGAGAAAATTACCCAGCTCGTAGGAAAATAGGGTTATTGTCAAATTAGGTTCAAGACTCGACGAAGAATTCTTAAGTATTTGAAAAGACACTTAACTAAACTTTTTTTTAAAAAATACTATTAATTTCATGCTCGTTTTTCTCCGACCAAAGTTAAATATAATCTCAAACATTACTTTTCACTAATCAAGTAATTAAATCAAAATCTATGCAAAACAACATGATTAGAGTATGAAAGGAAAAGGTTGGACATTTGACATGCATTTTGATAGCTAGCTAGCACCAGCTAGGATTTACCCTATTTTTATTACTTTTTCTTTTTTAATAAAAAAGTAGTAGCCGAATAATAATAAATAGGTATTTGATTTAGTAAATGATTCGAACGTGTATTGTTAAATCAACTATTAACGAAAAGTTATTGATACGAGATATATATTTGTACAGTTGAATTTGTCATATAACGCTACAGTCTGTTAAAGAACAGAGCGAATCAATACATATAATCATATTGTTTTTTTCACAATCGGGATCTTCTACCCTAAAAAGGTGGAATCTTTTTAGGTCATTATTCATCGAGTAAAAAAGGATGCAATAAAAAGAATGGTATTTTTGAAGGTATTATTTACTTTTATAAAAGAGAAGGGGATGTTCCTAATCTTGTTCAATACGTTGACTATTTATAATACCTTTGTTATTAAATAATTTTTAAAAAGTAAGGGCAGGAATAAAATTAATTGAAATTCCAGGGACCAATAATAAATAAAATATATTTTAGGGTTAGATATTTTACACGTCAATCCGGTTAAAAATAATAACAAGTCATGAAAAAATTTGTTGAAATAAAAAGTAGTTGAAAATTCAGTGATATACAAACACATGTAACATATACCAACAGGTGGCTTCGGTGTTGGAAATAAAGAAATTGAAAAATGTTTTTGAGTATTAAAAAATTCAATAGATCTCACCGCTAGAGTTGGGTTAACATGACGTGAAATTTTTTGTTCGAGATGTGCATTACTTTTATAAACATGGTTCCACGTATACATTGTTGTATACACCGATTCATCTAGGATGTATCACTTTTATGCACTCTATGTCCCTAGATATGAATCATTTTTTCATACATAGGTGTGCGTCACTTTCATATACACGAACTATATACACATTACTTCCATGTACTTTGAATGTGAAATCTCACATCGGTTGGAGAGTAGAATGACCCATTTCTTATATGGATGTGGAAACGTCACCTTAGTATACACTTGTTAAAATTGTGAGGCTGAGGACGTTACGTAACGAGCCAAAGCATTAGCAGTGGGCTTGAGCTGTTATGATATTAGAGTCAGATACTAAGCAATGTGCTAACAAGAACGTAGGGGTAGACTGTGAGATCCTACATCGGTTGGAGAGAGAAACGACACATTTAAGTGAGTAAAAACTTCTCTCTAGTAGACGAATTTTCAAACTCTAACTTAAATAACTTTAAAATAACATTTTAATCAATTTAATTAGATTTAAATTAATTTCAAAATAATAAAATTAACTTATTGGTTAGTAAGAGGGAATAAATAGGAGATTGAAAATAGGGAATCTGCCCATTAATTTAAAAATTAATATATATATATATATATATATATATATATATATATATATATATTTTAGAGAGAAGTGGAAAGCGTGCTAGAAGTGAATGATGATGGTCTGTGGGCGTGCCCCCAAAATTATAAGAATAATAATAATAGTAATAATAATAATAATAATAATAATAATAATAATAATAATAATAAATAAATAAATTATTTAAAAAAACAAGCCAAAGAAAAGGGTTCACACGCTCTCCTTCACATTTCACACGCACCGCTATGCTTATTTTTTTCTTTTCTATTTTATATATTATTTATTTATTTATTTATTTCTATCTATTAACTCGGACCACCGACCTTCCTCTCAAATGGTAGTTTGTTTGTATCAACAAAATCTCGAAAAAAAAATTGAGTATATTAACATAAGAATAAATCGTATCCGATAATATAAGATTTATCTATTGAGGTTGTCCATGTTCATCGCTAACAAATATTAACCTATTTGAGCTTATTCGATCTTCAATGTTTTAAAACGCGTCTATTGAAAAAATATTCACTGCTCTGTGTCTGGCACTAATATGATTTATAATAGCTCAAACTCACTGCTAACAGATATTGTCTTTTTTGAGTTTTCTCTCTCCGACTTTCCCTCAACCTTTTTTTTATGGAGTAGGGTGAATTTTAAATTAAGTAATTTAATATTTATTTAAAAATAATATATAGCAAGTTGGTGATGAGGGGGAATAAAGAGAAAATTGATGAGATAGAGAGATTTGAAAGAGATTACATGGAAAATAGAGTCTGACGTGTCGATATTAGAGCATGGATACGTCAATTTTAATTTTAATCTACTTTTTTTAATTAAATATTTAAATTATTGCTTACCGAATATTTTGTTTTTTCTACCAGCAGTTTATTTGGGGTTTTATTTTTAATGGATATTATTTTTAAAGTGAATTAAAATCATAAAATAATTCAGATTTTATGACAAATTTGACGGAATCAAATATATAATTTAATAAAATATAAAATAGTTTAATTTGAATAGAATTTGGACCGATGAAAACTAGACCATGGTTGAGTGAAATATTTGTGTGCGTCATGCTATAAAATTCTGTAGAACCCTTAATCAATTTGAGTATAGTTCAATAAACAAGATACATATTCTTATTCGGAGAAGATTTAGGAACACAAATAGGAGAAGCAAGAACCACTTAAATGAATTGGCTTTATTTCGTCTTTTGTTCTCCAAGAGTTCCTTTGCAAGGTTCATCCGGAAGATAAGTAAGGGCCTAAAATTAGGTCGAAAGGCATAGTCGACAAACAAAATGTGAATATTCTTATACTACCCCTTATTGGTCTTGAGGGACGTAGACTAGAATAAAGAAGAGCAGATCTTGTAACTTTAAACTTGTAAACTAGCTCCTTAACAAAAGTATAAAGTATATCCGCCAATTTTGACATAATTCAATAAATAAGACACGGTTAATCAACTAAAAAATCGATGATTCGGTATTTCACTCTTAAAAATTGTGTAGAATATATCTTTTATTTAAAATGAGGTATA